CGCATCAGCGATGTCCATTGCTCTGTCAAGCCGAGCGCCAGTGCCTCCTCGCCCAAGCTGCACTCCAGCGCTGCCGTGCACCGGCTCAAGAAGGACATCCGCCGCTGCCACCGCATGTCCCGCCGGCCGCTGCCCCGCCCAGACCCCCAGGGAGGCAGCCCTGGCTTGCGCCCACCCATTTCCCCCTTCTCGGAGACGGTGCGCATCATCAATCGCAAGGTGAAGCCCCGAGAGCCCAAGAGGAGTCGCATCATCCTGAATCTGAAGGTCATCGACAAGGGCGCGGGCGGAGCTGGCGGCCAGAGCGCCGGCGCGCTGGCGCGCCCCAAAGTCCCGTCGCGGAACCGCGTCATCGGCAAGAGCAAGAAGTTCAGCGAGAGCATCCTGCGCACGCAGATCCGCCACATGAAGTTCGGCGCCTTCGCGCTGTATAAGCCCCCACCTGCCGGCAAGGCTGACAGCGCTGCCACCCCCAGCCCGGGGCTGCTCCTGGCCCCCGCCGCCCCCTTCGATGCGCGCAGCTCCAGCTCCTCCGGCTGCCCCTCGCCGACACCGCAGTCCTCCTCTGATCATGATGATGTGCCCCCCAAGCTACTCCCCGAGACCGTGAGCCCAGCGGACCCCAACTGGCGCGAGCCTGAGGTGCTTGACCTATCCGTCCCTCCTGAGTCGGCCACCAGCAAGCGGGCACCTCCTGATGTCCCTGCTGCTGCCAGCCAGGTGCCCCCTGCAGCCCCTGAGCCCACTGGTGCCTCCTCCGAGCCTGGGGACTGGCGCCCTGAGATGTCACCTTGCTCCAATGTGGTCGTCACTGATGTCACCAGCAATCTCCTGACAGTCACAATCAAGGAATTCTGCAACCCTGAGGATTTCGAGAAGGTGGCTGCTGGGGTAGCAGGCACCGCAGGTGGGGGTGGCAGCAATGGGGCGAGCAAGTGAGGGGGTTTCACCCGGGGGGGGCTGGGGGGCCCTCCTGCTCAAGGTCACATTTGTGCTCCCACCAGCCCTTGCCCTCAGACCCCTCTGCCTGTGCTTTGCTTGTCTCAAATGGCTCAGTGTTGACCCAGGGTTGGGGCCCGGCAGCTGGAGACCCCTGGAGGCCAGCCAGCAGGGGCCGCATGGGCACTGGGAAATTCTCTGTCTCGTCTTTTGGCACTTCCTGCCCATGCACACGGGCCCGCTGGGTGGGTTCTGGGGAGCCCCAGAGCCCAAGGTTCACCTGCCCCTTCCGTGTCCCATGGTGTCCCTCCCCAGCTTGCTTCCTGTTTTGTATAGCATCTGGCTTCTCGGTGCTAACCTGGAGGCTGTGGGGGCCCTCAGAAGACCCTGTGGGGGTGGGCATGGCCCTTTTCTGCAGATTCCTGGGCAGGAGGGGGCTGGAATGGTTTCCTGCCTGACAACCCTGGATAGAGGCTGAGGCCACGCTCTTGCTCCTCCCTGTGCACGGGAGGGCATCCTGGAGACTGGGTCACCAGCGTGGGTCTAACCACTCACCTTTGGACAAGGCCCAAGAAGGTGGGGAAGCCCTGCCCTAGTCTCCCTGTCTCTGCAGGCCCCTTCAGTTCTCCACCAAAGGTGCTACGGGAGCCCACTGGGCACTTGCGGCTGTGCTGTGCTGTGCACCCCTCAGTGTGCTCTTGTGCGGGTCCCTGTGCAGCAGGTGCTTGGGCCCAGGCCCTGCAGGTGGCGCCCTCTACAGTTCCTCAGAACAGGGTTCTGGAAGGCCTGGGCCTTCCCCCAGCAGCTGGGCCTGCTCCAGTGGAGAGGTGTTGCTGGAGTAGCCACCAGGCTTCTGGGGCCCCAGGCCCCCACGCCCTTCTCCTTGGGGCTGATCAGCCCAATATCCCTGTTGGGCCTTCCCTGCAGACATGGCATGGAACTGAGGGGGTTAATTCCAAGCTTCCCTTTCTTCCCAGTATCTGCAGAGGAAAGGGGCAGCCGGAAACTGTTCTGAAGGGTCCTCAGCTTTCCCATCCCCTCTCTCGCTTCTGACCACTGAGGCCTGCTCACAGCCCAGCCTGCTCAGAGCAGTGGGAGACTTGAGGCCCTGGGCAGCTTCTCTCCCTTGCTGCCAGGAAGCTGAGGGGTCCATGCTGGTGGCAGAGACCAGAGCCCCCGTGTGAGGCTGGCTGGGCACTGGAAGTGTGGCTGGGCTGAAGGGGAGACTGCCTCAACGAGGCCGAGGCCCGTGTTCCTTGGAGCACCGGGGTTCGTTTGGGAGTGGGGCCGCAGCCTTTGGGCCAGCGCCAGGCCACTGCCAGGTCCCCCTCAGCACAGGTGCTGAGTGAGGCCCTGTGGGCCCCTCTGCTCAGAAGAAGCCTGGTGAAAGGGAGGCAGGAGCAAACCTGACGGGATAGAGGCCTTCGGTCCCTGCCTTCCTTGCCCCAGGATGTTGAAAGGGGCCCTCACAGGGTTTGAGGGGGGCTGGCACTCCTGGGCCCCTCCCCACTGTGCCCTTTGTGTTGGCTCTGTGGCCGTCCAAGTGCCAATGGCTTTTCCCCCAAATAAGGGCTGGCATTTCTCCTCTGGCCTCAGAGGAGGTGTCCCCCAACCCCCACCCCAGGTGAGCGAGCCACCTGGGTGCCAGATACAGGTGTTTCCAGAGACCATAGAAATGTGTTTTCCTGAGAGTCCGTGTCATTCGTGACTTTTTTTGTAAAGAAGTGTGTTTTCAGAGGTGATTTTATGACAGGAAAGTGAAAGAATTAGTTTTGCAGAAAAAAAAAAAAACAAAAACAAAAAAAGAGGAAAAAAAAACAAATAGAAAAAAAATATTGTGGGGTTCCTGGGGGGGGGAAGAAAGATATTTAAAGAAAAACTAGTGACGCAGTGATTGCACAGGTGAGGTGGCAATGTTAGGGGTGGGGTGGAGGCTACACCCAGTGGGGTGCCTTGGGTCTCCAGGCACCCTCCTTCTGTGGCCCCAGGTAAGGTGAGCCTTCCCTGCCATCCTGGGCCCGGACCTCCACACCCGTCCTCACTCAAAGGGAAGGACAATGGTTGCTCCCAAGGGAGCCAGCCAGAAGCTACAGGGCCACGCAGGTGGGGGAGGGGGCTGAGGGGGGGAG